TGGCTAAAGTACAGACAATACACAAGTTACAAAGATAAAGCTCTACGTGATAAAGTTATAAAGGCAGACTATGTGTACTTTTGTGTTATAAGAAAATCTTAGGACTATACACACTTTTGTTGGCAGGGTGATGTCTCTGCTTTTTAGTATGCTGTCTAGATTTGCCATAGCTTTCTTCCCCAGGAGCAAGCGTCTTTTAATACTGCCATTTAATACAGTCTTAATTTCATTGGTAATCTAGCTATCTGTATAATGTCCTAGTCCTAAGATTTTCTTATAACACAAAAGTACACATAGTCTGCCTTTATAACTTTATCACTTAGAGCTTTATCTTTGTAACTTGTGTATTGTCTGTACTTTAGCCACCACATTCAATACATCTTCCCTATTTTTGCAGAGCCTTGAAATTCCTGATTCCAGTTACATCCAAAAGTGCAATCCGGAAAAGTGGGCAGAGTCCCATCCATTCAGCAGCAGATGGCCAAAATCCCCAGTGCCTGGAACTCCTAATTGAAAATGGGTTTGATGTCAACGTTCTTCTGGCAGAACACATTTCCCAAAGTTATGATGATGAAAGGAAAACGGCACTTTATTTTGCAGTTTCCAACAATGACATTCTCTCCACTGAAATATTATTGCAAGCTGGCGCAGACCCCAATAAGGATCCTCTCAACTGCCTTCTTGTGGCTGTGAGAGCAAACAACCATGAAATTGTACGGTTGCTTCTTTCTTATGGTGCAAATGTCAACTGTTATTTTAACCTTGTGAATGACACTCATTTTCCCAGTGCCATTCAATATGCCTTGAATGATGAAGTCATGCTAAGGTTGCTGCTTAACCATGGATATAATGTGGACCTCTGTTTTGACTGCATGCATGGCGATATCTTTGGAAATTCTTTTTTGTGGCCAATAACAGAGGAAGAGATATTACCAGGCTGGACATCTTGTGTAATTGAAGATAACCCCGTAAGGATTTTTTTTATCCTATTCAATATTATTATTATTAATCAACATTTGTTAAGGAGAGTGTGTTGGGTTGACTCTTGTTGGGTTTAAAATCTCAGATCTTTCACTTGTATATCTTCCCCCAAAGAAAATCGTGACTAAGATCCGTATGAATAATGCTCATTCCTTCTTCTATTTTTAGGTATAATGACAAAGGCCAAGTGTAGAGTGAGGATAGAAGCTGTTGTAAAAAGAAAACACTGACACATGTTTGTGTCCTTGTCTCTGCTACTGATAAGCATGCTTAGAGATGCAGGCATTACATTGCTCTGTTAGATGTACCCTTCTTCAAAAGAGTGGAGCCAAGGGAGGAACAATTGATAGAATAGTGCCAGCAATATGCCTAGTGCTATGTGGGAAGAAAGGAAGAACAAATTAATCCAATGAAAACTTATATTATCTGGTATAAGAGGACACTTAGATTCCCTGCAAAACTGTTGCAAGTCTACAACTTGGCTATGAAATTTATTCATTTCATTATTTAGGTACTTTTAGGCTACCTATTTAAACAAAAGGTATCATATAAATGTCCGCTGTATTATACAGATAAAGAAGAGGTCTATGATCTATTCTGTTAACAAGCTTAATGTTTAATGTTTTATAAGTCAATAGATATGCCAATAAAGTTCAAGTATTTCAGAATATAGCATTTCAATTTCTTCCCAAAGAGATATAGAGAACTGCAGAAACTATGAAATGGCTCTGTAATATTTTAAGAATCCTAACAAGCTTCTCCTGCCTTTTAAAGAAATGTTTGGATTAATGCATCTTGTTTTATGAAGTGATCTGTTTGTGAATTCTGCATCATATTATAATAATACATTTTAGAAAATAATTTAGTATAACACTGGTCATATTTCCTTTTCAGTTCTGTGACTTTATTACACTTCCTTGGATGAAACATTTAGTTGGACCCATTGTCCGTATTTTGATAGATTATATGGATTATGTTCCTCTCTGCACTAAACTTAAATTTGTCATGGAGACTCAGAAAGAATGGCCAGAAATCCAGCAAATATTAGGTAAATGAATACTGTTGGCTTGGAATTAGGCTAGCTGTTTAATCTATGAAACCAAAAGAAAAACATATTTGTGTTAAAGATTTCAAATAATGTGTTATTATTATAACAGTATGCCCTCCTTTTTAACCATATCATCTTCAGATGAACAGGATTTATAGCCTTGTGAATATATAAGGATTAGGTGAATAAAAGCTTATTATAGCAATATAGGGGAGAGCTTGATCTTGGGATATATAGTATTATCCAAATGGAATCCAAGAGAAACTATAGGTAGGAAGCCTATTATAGAACTACAGTTGCAGAAAAGGAAATGTGTAATACAAAATCAATGGCAAAGAACAATAATCTATGATCTAATCTACCATACTTGTATTTGGAATTTCTAAACCACTTCTTGTAAATGCAAAACTCCATATCCTCTTGAAGTTCTAATAATTATTGGTTTAGATGGCATCATAAATAAATAGCTATCCCTCCAAACTAATATATTTGAAATACTGAGTAGGATTTCTAGCATCTGAAAGCCAGACCAGATATAATCAATACTAGTTTAACAATATCATTTCTCTAATAACAGCACAGAAATAATAAAATTTGAAATGTATGGTAAAATCAAATACTATTCATTTGTGCTACAGAAGCACAAATGTTGGACAGTGTTGGCAGCTGGCAACAGTGTGTGTCATTTTGGACAACATATATCACATGATGTGATGTTTTCATCATAGTCTCTGGATTTTACCATGCCTGTTATTTAAGAAGCTTTTATCAACAACTTGGGTATTTACTAAGTTTGCAGATGACATAAAAGTAGGAGGCAAAAATAACTGGTAAAATTCAAAAGGGAGAAATGTAACATTCTGCATTTGGGTAGAAAACAAGAAAGGCACTAGAATAGAAAGGCAATAGTACATGTGAAATGGATTTGGATACTGCCATTGATCACAAATTAAACATGAGCCCAGAGTGTGATGCAACTGTAAAAAGGTGAACTCTGTCATAAAGGTAAAAGTAAAGGTTCCCCTCACACATGTGTGCTAGTCGTTCCCTACTCGAGGGGGCGGTGTTCATCTCTGTTTCAAAGCCGAAGAGCCAGCGCTATCCAAAGATGTCTCTATGGTCATGTGGCCAGCATAACTAAATGCCAAAGGTACACGGAATGCTGTTATCTTCCCACCAAAGATGGTCCCTATTTTTCTACTTGCATTTTTACATACTTTCGAACTGCTAGGTTGGTAGAAGCTGGGACAAGTAACGGGAGCTCACTCCATTATGTTGGCACTAGGGATTCCAACCCCTGAACTGCCGACCTTTGGATCAACAAGCTCAGCATCTTAGCCACTGAGCCACAACGTCCCTAACTGTGTCATAAGGATGAATTAATAAGAACAAAGAGTTCAGATCATGGGAATTTATATTCCATTCCACATTGCACTCTTCAGATTTCATTTGGAGTGCTGCTGTGTCTAGTTCTGGACACTACAGTTGAAAAAGAACACTGAAAATTGGAGGAAAGGGGAGCTACAAAAGTCCTGGAAATCAGGTGTAATTACAAGACAACTGAAGGGAGATATGATAGCAGCAACTATATGAAATCACATGGAAAGAGAAATAAAAATATTCTCTCTTGCTCCAATGATCAAGACTTGTACCAGTGAATTCAAAAAGTAAATGCAAATAGACATTAGGAGAACTTTTCTGATTGTATGAGCTGTTAGCCATGGAAACAGGCTGCTGTATGACCTGGTCAGTTTGGCTTCAGTGGAGGTCTTCAAATGGAGTAAGGGTTCCTGCCCACTGTATGTGTCAGCCGCTACATCCCTTGCTTGCTATTGGCTGCCATAGTAACGGGGAGGGAAGGGGTCATGGTATTTGGGAGGGGAATCATGCTGATGGAGACATTGTGAAAGAGGGAGTTTTGTTGTCACCATCTTCTGTGCATGCTGAAGGCTCATATTTGGGTTTGGTCAAGGCCAACCGTCTCTGCATACCAGCTGGATGAGGCCTGAAGATGCACTCCACATGACACCCTTGGGGGTTGGA